ATTTATCATCCAATTTTGACACCATTACTAAATTTCTATTCAATTTGCCAAAATTGACGATCTACCACCTCTCAAGGACATCCCTTTCTATACAGAAAAATATCATACACCTAGCCACCAAGGCCAACCAAGTCAAGTAATTATAGTAGTTGATTAATTCGAAGCACTTTTTACACTTTGGTTACATACGACCGGTCCAAAAATGATTCCAGCACTCAAACCTCCAGGTACATGATAAGAAAAAAGTACCCAAAAGTAAGTTTTTTTCACACATCTCGCCACTTTATTGCAGGAAGCCAGAAGTAGGTAAAGTTAGTCAAGGTATTTTCATTTACTTGTGTTCAAATCGTATGGAATTGAAAATTCGCTTTCTACCCAAAAGTAAGTCAGTTATACCCAAGAGTAGGTGAATATGATCGTGAGTATACTCAAAGTTAAAAGTAGGTAATTTTTTTTTTTTATATCTTTATTAAGGAGACTTTCAGCCCTGGGCTGGTTCGTCTCCGCTTAAAGTAGGTAAATGTGATCTGGCCGCTAGATCGTTTTTTCTTATCGTGTATGTTTTTGTTTTTGCAGCATTCTTTTCCCGCCTTTTTAATATCAGCTGATGGCTTCGATCAGTGCAACCAGAATGAAAAATATGTTTTCTTTAGAAGATTTGTAGATTTATTTACTTCCATTTCTTTTCTGGAAAAACAATATAAGAAATTGTTTTTAATTTTTATTAGTGATGGTTTCTTAATTGAACACAGTTGAAGAACGTTCAAAAGCAATAAAAACTTTGTTTTTAAATACTTTGTTTCAATTAAATTGACAACACTGGATATGATGATAGATGATTCGTACACACACCTTCGTAATGTGGTGTGTAGACAAAAGGTAAACAAAACGATTTCAGCTTTCAAATTTATTCGCGGCTCGCGTTTTTAACGATGCAAATGATATTATTTAAGTAAATATCATCTCTAAAAGTGAATTACCTTGAAAGTGCTTGTAGAAGCACGTGTCGTAATTGTTTTTAGTGTGGTTCTGAGAAGTGAAAGCTAGTGAAAACAGTGATTTTAATTACATGCCCAGAGCAGAACAAAATCGACTGATCGTTTAATGCAATTATTGCGAATGCGTGATCAAATTGGCAATATTTTGTTGGGAAAGTATACAAATATGTATCCAGATCTTATTCATACAATTTTGGCCCATTTTTTAAGGTATGTAATTAGTAATTTACTATTTTCTTGGAAGATGTCTTTCGTAAGCATACCAAAAACATGTTTATTTTATGATTGTGGGGACAGCCATTGTTGCATGACGTGCCGTATCGCCTTAATGGCCCTTCGCTCATTTTAAACTTCTATTCAATTTTCATACTGCCGTACTCTAACGGAACTATCCAGCTGCCCTCTTCTAAAAATCATTATCTAGCTAATAAATTATCACACTAAAGCTTCATGTTAGCATTTCCTACCAAAATCGCAAACTTCGCGTATGAAGTAACATAAAAACGGTTTGAATTGTTAACAAGTAACATAAAAACTAACACACTAATTTAAATTTAACAGATAATGTGTATTTCTTTTTTACTATGCACCGCGTTTTCCCTTGCATCATGTGAACCATTTTCTAACATTGTTAATGATCCCATCGCACAAATTAAGGAAACTAATTGTAAAATTGAAACAGGATCCATAAAAATTATACACCCAGTAAATCTAGGTAGAATTGGGGAAAGCATAGAAACTATCACAAACACATTTTATAACAAATTAACCCTTACTAACCCTTTACATGAGGTGATAAAGTTTAGGATTAAGAAATTATATTCGACGCTCTATGGACTAAAATCACAGCAGACACACCGCCATCGGCGATGGGACTCCATAGGCACTGCTTTCTTTAAGTTAAGGACATCATTAAGCAAAAATTCTGAATTTTAATTATGATGTAAATATTCATTCACGTAAAAAAGTATTCCATTTCACGCTAACGAGCAACTTGTTAGCAATGTTGTTTAGAAAGATGTTCTTTTGTATACAATATTTGCAACATTTCATGAAAAGTCTCAGAACTTTACACGATTTATAATGTAAACATACTTACATGTTACGCTCTATTTATGTGCATCATATTAAATAGAAATTTACACTACTTTTTCGAACTGTGTAGGCCACTCAACTTTTATGGTGACGGGTCCTATACCAATGAAAAAGCTTTCTTCATTCGGCCCTGTTTACCGTCGCCCATCAAGTATCAAGTATCGGATCAAATCATACCTATATTTATACACAGCTAAAAAAAAGTAGTGTTAATCTCCGTTGCTATGATGCACATAATTGGTGCGTCATATATCATACAAGTTTACATTTAAGATTGTGAAAACTAATGACACATGTCATGCAATATTCCATTTATTGTATGCAATTGTCCACCTTTGTTTGCAACATTTCTTGTAAGCTGCTATTTTACGTGAAAAGAAAGTTTATATGCATGAATGTTTGCATGCATGGATGTAGTAAAATTTAGAATTTTTATCTGTGTAAGCATTCCTCCTGAATTCCCCCTGATCGTGTTACGGAATCCAGCAATGGAAGGTGAAATAGTGTCTAGAATGTCTCAGGACTCAGGACCACTTCCCTTGTTATGCTAGAGTTTCACTTTCATAGATTTGGAACGTGCTTTTTCTCCTATATTGAGAACATTTCAGTCGATGTTCTTTACGAACGCACTCTTCTACCTAACATCGTCATACCGGATCGATGGAAAACACGTGTTTTGAATAAATCAATCCATGTTCCATGCTGATAATCTATCAAAACATTTACGAATGGATTGGCAGTGGCTCGGGCGGTTGGAGAAGCAGTCTCGTTCTGATTACGGTAGCAATCTGCTTTCAATATAATCAATCTTGAACGATGAGTGCACGACGTACCCGCACGGAAGGTGAAAGGGAAACGTCAAAACTTTGGGAATCGTGTATCGCTATTCGGTATTTGATAGCTTTATAGATGTGCATAGTTTAGCGATGGCAGTGAAAGCATTTCCCACTTAAACGGTCGTGTGGGGTCAGGATTAGTCTAATGGACGTTGGTGGTAAACCGGATCAAATGCAATGAACTGATTAAAAGAATGCTTTCCTTTCATCTAGCTAAAAGGTAGTGGGGTGTAAAGCTTTGGCATCCATGGAGTGAGAAATTTAATTTTGTAAATTGCAGAACTCACAAGTAAACATTTGCACTATTTCTGATAGGGTAGAGCACTACTTCGGCCTAATCGCCCATTTTGGGCCTATCGAGCAGAAAACTTCAAATAAATCCATGATTTCAGAGTTAACAAGTCAATTATGCGTTTGGTACGATACATAAGTTAATAAGCTACCGAACGAAGTCAATGAGAATACGTGATATGAAGGTTTGAACCCATTATTCCAAAAAACAAAAGAAGCGCTCCGACCGAATCATGTTTTATCTTCATCCGATAGGCCGAAGTGAATTCATTGGCGTTTCAATTGCGTTTCAATGCGTTAGGCCAAGTTTAGAATCCGTAGGCCGAGTGTGGCGTCAAGAAGCAGTGTTAGACTTTTGACAATATCTCAACAATTGGTTTCTCTTTATCAAATCTTACGGTACGTACGGAAAGGTAAATAAATTTGGAAGCCATCAGTAATAATAACATTTCGTTTGGTGCTAAACTGCGCTAGATTAAGAAAGACTAAGTGCGGGTTGTGCTTAATAGGGCGGAAATAAGGTAGTTAACCCTACATTGCTTTTGATTGTTGTGTTCATTGCAGCTCGTGCCCATTATTTATCAGAAATTTTTGCTTTCAAAATCAAAGTAGTTAATATTCATTATAGTTCCTATAACTTATTTCATATAAATTTCCTGAATAACCACACATTCCAACAATCTGTTGATTTCTTCGAGCGATAGCTCCAATGCTCCGAGTAAACATTCTCCAGCATACAAGAAGCAGACAGTTAGCTCTCTCATCGAAAGCAATAACCCTGCCTCCAGGCCACCATAAACGATATAATAATAGGTATTATATTAGTTTAATAAAATTTTATGCACATTTTCCAACTAAATTTATACTCCTACTGGCACTGATACGTGTCCCTTTCGCACCGATCTCACGCCCTGGTGTACCCATAAACTGCACGACTAACGAGCAAATGATACTTTTCCGCCCATCCTTCTCATATGCAGGCCTGGTTCTGCTGGGAAGTGTGCCTCCAAACCTGCACGAAGAAAAGGCAGAAAAACTTGCTCTGCTCTGCGGCCAACACGCTCGGGAGACCTACTGCTAGAAACAACTAAGCGTTGTCTATAAGATTCAACTTTCTCTTAGCCAAGGGTGGCACTCCCCTGCATGCAAACGCATACAGAGAGGTACCGTTGTTTGCGGATGGAGTTTTAGCCAGTATTTTTTTCTTTTCTGGATTCCTTGATTCCTGGTTTTTGGTAATAAATATAACATTTACGGTCCGTATTCTTACTACCAAAGAACAGGTAGGTAGTAATTGGGAAAATGGAATACCAGCTAAAACTTCATCCGCAAACAACGGTACCTCTCTGTATACAAGCAAGCATTCGCGAGGAGACCAATGAGGATCCTTAATGAAAGAAAACAAAGTTGTAATAATTTCCAAATTGCTTCTCTGCATTTCCAACCCCACATGGTCGCTAGCTCCTCATACGTTTATGTACACCAGGCTATCACCACAATGACATGAGCACCTACTCACTACTTCTCAAGCGCATACATAAGTGGCGGGAGGATAAGCTCGCGCTCGTGGTAGTATTTGTGGCAACACGCAAATAACTTCAAGCTTTTCACCTGGAAAATTTATTGTGGCTGACTTATAGCTTCTTCAACTTCGAAATCAAGAAGCAGGGAAATTTTCCCACGAGTACTCATTTTGGATGGGGATAATTAGCTACGTGGTTTGTTCCACGTGATTTTGCAGCACCTTCGAAGTATGGGGGTGATAGAAAATATAACTTACCGAGAATTTCTACGGTGTGCACCTGGTCCTTGTTGATCTTGTCGCTGATTTGACACACGTAGTCACCAGCGTCCTGTGGTTCCAGTTCGGAAATTTCCAGATTGTAACCATTTACCAGTCGTATCCGTTCGTCCCGTGTCACCATCAACTGAGATGCCGTTAGTACGTTGGCTCCTCGTCGCCACAGAAGAACCAGTGTACCTGAAATTAGACAGATGCGGATATAATTAATTCATAAATTGTGACTTAATGGCAAATTCGTTTAACTAGTGGGGCCGAAATGTGAAAACAAATACTTTACGGAGTGTGATGCAGAGTACCATCAAGTCAGCAGTTCTTTCTTTTTTTCCGGTAGGTGCCTTGAGTTTTGCTTCTTTTTCCATTCCCACAACTCCCTTAATTCTTTCGATAGTTTTACGTCTACAACGGCCACTTAGGATTTTATTTGTCCCATTTCCACTGCTTCTCTGTATACCTAGCCTACAATTCCAGATTTTTTTTTGACGTAGGACTACGCAGGCATGGAAAATCATTTGCATTCATTTCGTACATTCATTTACTTTCATTTGCCCTTAACTATTTTTATCAACAGAATTCCGCAAAATGATGTATTGAACTTTTGTAGGTTTTGTTATAAGCTACAACTTTTGTTAACAACTTAAATCCATATCTCTTATGCATGACGAACCAGAGATAACAGAAGCCACTACTGTTTTTCAATGATTGTATTTTACATTCACTGAAAAATAGTAACAAGTTCTGCCTGCTCTAATTCGTGATGCATAAGAGATACAGATTTGAGTTTTGGTCAAAAATTGTAGCTTATAACAAACCCTACTAAAGCTCTGTAAATCATTTTGCGGAATGCTGTTGAAGAAAATAGTTAGAGGCAAATGAATGTAAATGAATGCATGTAATGAATGTAAATGATTTTCCATGCCTGGGACTACGTCTTTCGGGAAGATGGGGGTACACTTTATGAAAACCGACAGATGAAATTATGAAAGATTTTGAACATTAATAACTCAGCTGCTCCTGGACCAATTTCAAAAAAATTATCACCAATCGATCAGAAATATTTCTACGCATCGATAACAATGCTTTTGACTGTTGATTTTCAAATTGAAACTTTTGAAAAGTGGTAAATTTCAAGCATTGTCCAAAAGCTTCAAAATAACTAAAAATCCACCAATTACGTACATGCATATGCTGCTTCCCCAACACAGTCATCAGAGAATGGTTCCTAGATGAAACAAGTCGAAGTGACATTCACCTGCGATCTTAGGGCGTGTACGAATAGGGAGGATGCAATTGCGGAACATTTTGCTGCCAATTCAGAACCACACGCCCACAACGACCACACAAAATGCTCTCCGTTTTTTTCCTTGGATTTGTTTTCCGTGCTGAGCGCCAATGCTACCCACATCTGAACCCTACCTATCGACCCATCAACTCATGAACCGGGAAGCAACGGCTCTGAGCGTGATCCCGAAGGAAGGCGTGATCAGAGATGTTATGCCTCAGAACATCCCAGTGGCGCCGCTTACGCTTACCTGCGTGAGAGGTAATTACGCTTACCACTACACCACCGGTGCCGCTGCTCTCCAGAGTTGTATTCCTGTCACCAAACTTGGAAGCAGGGGATACTCTATATAAATTCTATTCTAACTCTTTTTTCAAATGACTTCTAATTTTTCAGGGCCACCAATGTTACGTTGGTGATAAGTTTTAACCTCCGAAACCATACAGAGTGCGTCCCTGTCGCTTCAGAGAGTAGACGACATCCATGGCCGTGACGGTTTTGCGCTTGGCGTGTTCAGTACAGGTGACGGCATCACGGATCATAATTTCTAGGAACACCTTCAGCACACCTCGGGTTTCCTCGTAAATCAGACCGGAGATACGCTTGACACCACCATGTCGAGCCAGACGACGGATGGCAGGCCCTGGATGTTATCACGCAGAATTTCCCTATATCGACAAAGCTGCATCATCATGACTGTATGTAGCCAATGGGAAGCGAGAAAATATGGTACCGGCTTAGTTCCGATTCACCCGTTCAACGACAAACATCAAGCAACAATGACTGGTCGTGGCAAGGGAGACAAAGCTCTTGGAAAAGAAGGCGCCAAGCGTCATCGGAAGGTTCTGCCATCCGTCGTCTGGCTCGACATGGTGGTGTCTAGCGTATTTCCAGTTACATCTTTGAAGAAACCTGAGGCGTACTGAAGGTGTTCCTAGAAAAATCCGTGATGCCGTCACCTACACTGAACACGCCAAGCGCAAAACCGTCACGGCCATGGATGTCGTCTACACTCTGAAGCGACAGGGACGCACTTTGTACGGTTTCGGGGGTTAAAACTTATCACCAACGTAACAAAACAAACCAAGTTCATTTCAGAAAAGAGATAGAATAGAATTTATATATAGTAACCCATTCAATTTGTCACTAAATACATCAAAATGATACAAAAATCAAATAATTTGTTAGGGAAATAAATTATGTTCTGTTTTAGTCTTATCGGTGGGTTAAATTATTCCGTTTCACTTTCATAAACTGAGAAACCCTCATCGTTGCATTCTCCTGCTGCGCGAGATCTTCGAAATCGTCCGAACCGTTAAATAATACAGAGTACATAGAGTATAGACTTAAAAAAACAGAGAGTACAAAAGAAGAGGAGCCAGTGTCGCTACTTGATAGCAAACTACACATGATGGGAGGAGTCTGTGTACTTTACCGGCGTGTTCAAAAAGAAAGGCAATCAAAATTTCATTTGTTACATGCATGAGGCATGTAACAGAAAGTGTGTTGGTGAGTTCTTTGGCGTGAATGTTCCCGAAAAGTTCAGTATTTTGCCATAAGCAAATGCAAAACAAACAAATTTATTGACAGATTTGGGCAAATTTTCACCCGTTTCATGCTACTGGAAGGTATGCTGGTCACAATGCCGTGCCAAACTGATTTCCTGCGCAAGTGATATGTATAAACGCGAATAACCACAAGGTCCAGTGATTATAGCAAAGGTTGCCATAAAGAAACCATCACAGTTCAGGGCCACCACAACTTTCTACAAAAGAGTTGAATTATGAAATTCACTTAATTCCAAAGTAATATCCGAAACAACAAACTAGAAAATCGAACAAAACTTTCGTAGTCCTACGTCAACAATGTGGTTGTGTATTGTACACCACCCTCCAACTTTTTTTTTCCTTTGGTTTGTTTTTCCGTCGATCTTGTTTTCCGTGCTGAGCACCAATGCTACCGACGTGCCAGGAAGGCAGCTCCCACACCTGGACCCTACCTATCGACCCATCAACTCATGAACCGGGGACCAACGGCTTTACTTCCCATCCGAAGGAAGGCGTGATCAGATATGTTATGCCTCAGAAAATCCCGGCGGCGCCGACTGGGATTGAACCCAGGCCTGCTGGGGTGAGAGGTAATCACGCTTACCACTACACCACCGGCGCCGTTACAATTCCAGATTTGTAGAAATAATATGCGTCATTCCGATAATTGAAAACAGGCAGCTATCTCTCCACTGCCTCGGGAGACGTCAGACCACTTTCATCACCGTTTACTGAAGCACCTAAACTGTTTCCATTGTTTTCACTATCACTACAACAGTAACAATTTTGGATTTATGAGGGTTCGGTAAACCATAATTTAGACTGATTTTCTTCGTCTTAAATTTATAGCTGCTTTCGAACCATTCACTTGAAGTAAGAATTTATCCAGTGCCCCTCCATTTAGCATAAAAATCTCTTATTTTTATTCCCGTCATAGAATAGTCCGTATATACACCTCGTACACTTGTGTGGATGTCAAGCAAGCAGCCACCGGATGTAAGTCTTTAATTTTCGAACTTTGCACCACTGCAGGTGCGCAGGATACATGAGTGAGCGAATATGGTCAAAACATAAGAAAACATAAATGAAAATACTGTGATAGAGTGTTCGACTGTTGAAACAGATTTGCTAGGGATTTTGGATATGCAGTCTTGTGAGACTTCTAGTTATAAGGGAATTTTTTAAATTACGTCCCTGCGTTTTAGCACTGATGAACCTTTTGCAGGGGAAGTCATTCGTTCTTTGTCTCGATAGAAAAGTATCCAGACAAAGAAGGAATAACCAAAGTAATGTTTATAAAGACAGATAGACCTTTTTCAAATGTTATGCGAGAATTATAAAAATATGTAGATATCTAGTTGAATTTGATAACCTTAACAAGTCTCGCGTACTTTACTCCAACCGACTCGAAATCAGTAATAAAGTCTCCCGGTGCCTTTTGCCACCGGAAAACAAATCATGGAAACAAAAATCGCTTCATTTTGCATTTACTGAGTGCTTGTGCGAGCCGCACTGATTGCGTTCGTATTATCATTGCTTATATTTTCTTCAATGAATGCAGAATTGAGAAAAACATCAGCTGAGCATAACAAGAATGATTTTGAGTATAGTACTCAAGTAACAATTCAGCAACCATTTGGCATCCTATCTAATTTATGATGGTTTTATAATGGCAATGAACAATCCATTTAGTTTAGGGTCATAGAACTTGTTATCAATTTGATATTTTACTTTGGTCGGGGAACAATCACGAGAGCATTACAGAAATTGGTAATGTACACACTGAATCAAACTGAAGGCAAATTAAAACTTAAATCGTAATATATTTTTAACTAACTTATTTTGATTCTCGAAAAGTCTGTATAATCTGTATATGTATATATGTATATACAGGTTCTTGGTCAATAATTCATCAAGAAAATCTGTAAAATACAGGCAACTGTGCCAAATCCACTCTACCGCACTTGTAGGTTCATCCATATGAGCTCAGAGTAAAGGCTTTTTGCGGTACGCTCTCAAAGGCAGTGCCGCAATTGCCTCAAGAAGCATCCTGATGCAACATGTAGATCTGTAAACTGCCGTAAATGTGGCTTACTCCACCACACCCTGCTGCATGCTGCACTCACGCCACCAAACAACAAGCTCCATCAACATCGTATGCTGTTCACACTACATAGTGGTGGTCCGGCCATGAAATTTCTGATTCCGGCCCTCGATAATAATTTCGACGCATCCAATCCACCGTGTCCACTAATGTTTTGGACAAACATGGACGGCCGCACGCTTGCCACACTGTTCTGGATTACTCGTCTCAAGCGTGTTTTATCAGCAAGAGTTTCTGGAACGAACTT